TACAGTACGAGTGCAAGAAAAATCAAATGGCACATTAATTAATGATCGACAAGGTAACCCTACACGTAACCACACTTCCTACATTTAATCAACAAATATGCATCTTTCAGAAGTAACACTATTCGTTTGTCTTGGTCAGCAATAGTTAAGACGAAGCAAGTGTCAGATGCCATGAGAAATCCAATTCATTTCAAAATACTTTGCTCGGTGTGCTTGCGACTCATCTATAACCTTCTGACTTAGTAGCAGATGCCTGATGGCATGAAGGTTATTAGTATGGGTAAAATATTGCTAGTATTGCAAGTTTGATATTCATATTTCCCGTACACGAAGCAAATTCCGAAAAATTTACACTTCAAAAATGGTAATTGTGTTACGACCGTATTTATGAAAAAATGTCGACACAGTGACGTTATACAAAAGCTCAATTTTCACTCAGTTCTAATAAGAGTAAAAGAAGAGTATGAAATTCTTTAAGAAGAAATTGAATATTACGGTGTTATTGTAGTCTTCGTAAAGCGCCGCGTTTTCTGCAGCACAGGTATAGGGACNATCTTCCTTTAAACCTGTTTCTCTATCCCTTGGTTTGTGTGAATGTCGTTTGAATTTCGTTTTGTTTATTTTTTTTGCCCTATTAAATTCATTGATTCAATCTGTTGGGAAGTTGGACTTAGTTTAAGTGCTACAATTCAAATTAATTCTAAATCAAACTTAATTTTGTAAATTTATTCAGGATTTATTATAAATCAAATCAAGCTATTCAAATTTTCAGTAGTTTTTTGCTCAAGAAGGGCGTTTCTTGACGTCACTTGCAAAGATCACTGTTTAAATCTTAGTCTTAAGTCTTTATCTCAAATTTCTCAAGCATCAAAACCTTCTACTGTTCTAGCTATTTTTCTCGTCCAACTTCCCACCCCTTAAACCTGTCTCTTATACACATCTAGATGTGTATAAGAGACAGGTTCTAGAGAACTCGTTAGGGGGTTTAGTTAAGAAACAAAAGAAGAAGTTGTCTGCAAGGTTACTTAATCAGTAACTGGGGTTAAATTTCAGATATATTGACATTGAACGTACGTATTTAGTGATGTATCAATGTCACGTCTTTCAATGCATCATTGCGGTAGCTGGATTTATTACCTCAGACCACCGCAGCCTCAAGACAATGCGTCCAAGTTCTGGGGCGCGTGGAGGCTGATGCAAGAGCGTCGCGAAGAGCAGTATAAATGAGCAGCTCGCAGCCACCGAGAGCATCATTCCAACGACAACTTCACAACGAAACTAAAACATGGCTTCTTTTTTGGTGAGTACGAAATATTTCAATGTACCTTAAGCCATCGCAGAATGCTTTTAGGATACAAGTGTAAACTTTTGAGAGAGTATGAAATAATGAGAAGTAATTCTCGATAATTAGCAAAACAACGCTTTAACTTTTTCTGATCTTCTTTGCGATGTGTTTGATGGGAATTTATTTTCAACAAAAACTTATGGCCGACAAATTGATAGCCGATTCCGTATTCAAATATTACCCTTCACTTCAGGGCCACATTGGCGGTTGAAGGCTATTTCAACTATTTTTGCTGTACAGGATTTACAATACCAGTGAAAACTGTTGAAATTTAACAATGATTTCTCCGCCTTGCAGAAACTGAGCGTGCTTGCCCTGGTGGTGATGATGCTGGTGACCGGCACCATCGCTGAACCCGAACCCGAGCCTTTCCCTGTGCCGGGTGGACACAAGCACTGGAAGAAGGGACACAAGAAGGGGCACAAGAAGGGACATAAGAAGGGACACAAGAAGGGACACAAGAAGGGCCACAAGAAGTGGTAGAACTGTCATGAACGCCGTTTTACTTCTTCCGTACAAAATAAACTCGAACGAACGCATTGTTTTTCACCTCCTTATTTTCAGTAGGAAAGTCACCGCGAAAATCACAGAAAACAATTTCATTGCTTGAAGACCTGTATTTCATTGAGATATTGTTCGGAATAAAACTAATTTCTATGCTGGGAGAAAATTATCATGAATGAATCTGAAATATGAGTAGCAAGTTTCATAACAGGTATCAGATTTTGCTTCATATGTTTTTAGCATGATGGAAAATTGCAGACTTATATGGGAGTAATGCATGTAACACATCTCTATGGCTGTAAAATATCTGATTACAGGAAAAACAGCTCTGCGATAAGACTGCATCAAGGAAGAAAATTACGGCAGTTAATCCAAATTTACAAGAGTAAATGCTAAATTGAGCAATAATGGATAGGAAGTCAAACGTCATCTTTAAGTAATATACTCTTACGTTCATTATTCTTGGTCAGATAGCACAACTCACTTCTAGGTGATGGAAAAGCGGAATTTCCCTCATAAATTACAATAAAGGAAAAATAGAAAAATATTTTCTGATGGAACAGGCCGGGACTTATAGTGGTTTCTGATTAAGCGTCAATGACTGCATAACTTAATCGTCAATAGGCCACAACAAAAGTTATACATCATATTTTCGCAGGGTTTATTGACGCAAAACAGTTATTTTCGTTCAGATCCAAGGCTCTGCTATAAGTAAATGTGCTATTGTTCAACTGTTGGAGTTTAACCATTATTATGCAAACAAATCAACTGCTCCATGGATAGTGTGAAGCGATACCGATTAGTGTTGTGCTCATAAGAAGTAATGTAGTTGCTCAGACTCGAGATAGACGTTGATTCACGAAAGAAATGCACTTGGTGCGTGATTGGGCGTTAACTTATAAGTTATAAAGTATATTATATGCGTAAATATATAAATAAATGAAATAAATGTAGAAATAAATATTTAAAATGTATTATAAGTACAGACTATCTAAATACGTATTATGTATAAAATATACTTTTAAACACAAGTCATTTAAAGAAGTGGTAAATCGGCCGCGAGAGCCACTTGATTTAAGTATGAATAAATCAAATTCTAATAAAACCTGCCATCAACGTCATAACCTGAAATTATGCTTTCGTGTTACGATCAGTTGTACTGGCGATATTAACTTTTCACGATATTAAATTTTCACGGCCATCACATTTTGGCTATGAGATGAGTTGTGGTGCTAAAAATTCAGATAGATTCAATTGAACATTTAAAACATTTTGAGTTTAACTACAGTTTACACTTTCTACCATTTCAGAAAATCAATTTTATCGAGTACTAATAGCTTCTGAATAATAACTGATCCTCATTTACAGTGAAACACAGCTGTGGAAAATCGCGTTAGTAAAATTTGCAAAAAATGACCGGGGAACTTGGTAATGAATGATATTTTCAAGTAAAAGATTTACCAACACTTTATTGAAGGAATGACTTATTTCGAACTCAGAGGAGCAATAGTTACCTAATGAGCTCAACAATGCGCATGACATTTGATTTATCTAGCAATTTTTTAGGTAGTAATTAGTGAGAAACTATACATAGACTTCGGAATCACTTTATGTGGACAAATCATATCTTCAGTCACAACGGTAATCTTGATCAGAATTGATTTTAAAACAAATAGTATTCTCCATAAATATACATTTTGCATCCCACGCGATTTTTTTGCTTACGTTTGAGAAAAAAAGCCGTAAAGTAATCATTAGCTGGGTCTTATACATACGTACGAAGTTTCGACATTATCTTCAATAAAACCTATTGTAACATGGTGGATTGTATACATCAGATTTGGCATATCGTTTAATTATACCACTGTATATTACCATTGCCATTGTATTTCAGGCTCTCATTTCTTCACCCCATGTGGCGATGCTTTGTCAGCCGGAGCCCTTTTTCCATTGTAGAAATGCCCGGCCACGTTCTATTGCTGTCTTGGTCAACTTGTTGACCCATGAGTCAACTTTATCGAATAATATGCTTGAAAAATAGGAAATTGCATGAAAATTCTTGGCTTTTTTAATTCCAGAGCAAGTAGTTCTCGGAAGGAATGGAGATGTGGAGTAAGAGGAAGTATGGCGGGTTGAGGCGGGACCGGTTCATATAGTGAAGTTAGAGTACCAACTACGACTGTACCCTACAGTACATCGATGACAGGTTCAACATCTTCTAGAAGACATGGGAGGGCCATGCCCTACCATGCACTTATCATCAGGATAGTAAGAGACCCGAGGTTTCCTATACCTTGCTTTTACATTTCAGATTGTTAGANTACTAAAAAACATATTTTCAGATTAAAAATGCTTGTTTCTTCGAGCGGCATCACTTTATCTTGTTCAAGGTTGCATTCCTTGCAAAATTCTTTTAAGAATGTTCATTTATTCTAATTCAAATGACAAGCATGTTATAGCTGCGGCACTTATCAGGCTGCATTGTAAAATGGTAGCGGAGTTGTTTAATGTATATTTAACTATTTCAATATTCGATCACTACGCAAACTTATGGAGATATCACGTCAGGAATTTAACCAATTCTCACAGTTATTGTTAGAATGTTTACTATGGCCATTTGAGTTTATACAATTAAGGCTCTCTTGAGAACCATTGTCTCAAATTATCAGGAAGTAGTGAAAAAATATTTTAATACGGGCTCTAATCACACACAAGTGTACGTTACACATATTTTAATGCAGTTTGGTGGTGGTATTGTTTTGGAATCCGAACAAACAACATAAAGTTGGTTGTAAACACTTGTATAGCGAACCTAGAAATTACGACTTTTAATAAATATATCATTTTTCCTCTGACTTGGCTACACCGTTAGGAAGTTTACTTCGCGTTCTAGTTTGTCCCTTAGTCAGTATAGCCCAGCCGATCCACAACAGCAGGTTCCCACGTTGCCAAGGGTATTATATTATCATTACTATTATTACTGTAGACATTTCTGTATTCCTTGCCGTATCAAATAAATTCACTTGATCCAGTTCAATTTATTTCCGATCTTGTAATCTCCTCACTGTGCGGGTAACGTATGGCAATTACCCCAAACACTCATTAGCATTTTAAACAGTTATCTTATTTTCAGGGCTGAGAATAACAGAAACAAATTTTGCTGGATTTTTATTCAAGGTCGTCGTGTCAAAACATATAAGGCAATTATGTAATAACCGTCATAATAAATCCCATCAAGACCGTTGTGCATTCTTCAGTGTCCTTTGCCCTTTCCTTTGCCCCCGCCTTTGCCTTTGCCAGGCGCAGGGAAAGGTTTAGGATCAGGATCAGCAATGGCGCCAGCCGCCATCATCATCACCGCCAGGGCAATCAGGCTCAGGTTCTAAGGAAAANCTATCATCCCTCCTGCACTCTATCATCCCTCCTGCACTCTATCATCCCTCCTGCACTCTATCATCCCTCCTGCACTCTATTATCCCTTCTACACACTATCATCCCTCCTGCACTCTATCATCCCTTCTACACTTTATCATCCCTTCTGCACTCTATCATCCCTTCTACACTTTATCATCCCTCCTGCACTCTATCATCCCTCCTGCACTCTATCTTCCCTCCTGCACTCTATCATCCCTCCTGCACTCTATCATCCCTCCTGCACTCCTGTCTCTTATACACATCTAGATGTGTATAAGAGACAGCCTTTCACCTCGCTGTCATGATGGGCACTGAAAGACCTGGCTGCATCTGGCAGTATATCAAGTCATGCCCCGTAATTAATGCCTTAGGAATTTGTTAAGGCCGCCCCCCACCGCCCCCCGTTCCATGGGGCGTGGTGAACATAAAAATGGAGGTAGAAAGCTGATTCTGCCACCAATAGAATCGTCAGAAAGTAAGCTTTAAGATGAGTATGAGCACGGGACAATGCCATGATTGGCCGCTTTACGTCAGACATTCCTTTTTAGTGTGCCCACCCTTCTAATTAATCTCATAGACTTTAGTTAAGGGCTCTAAAAACTCCCTCCCTTCAGAGGGCTGTTGCGAAATCATTTTTTGACGTAGAGGGATGATTCTGGTACGGTTGGATGCGTCAAAAACTAAGCTTTAAGATGAGCTCAAAAACCGGAAAACTCCAAAATTGAAAATTTTAGGGTAGTCGGTCCCCTTAATTACAAACACCATAGTTATCTTTTCAAAGTGGATTAAAAATTAATAAATAGGAAAAATTATGATGAGATAATGATAGGCGATATGTCTTAGGTACAAGCATGAGTAATTCATAACTGCGTTTGCAAGGGAATACGTTCTCCTTTCTTCAACCGATTCTATATTAAATTTAGTCGCTTACTTTCTTTTGATATTCATAACCAGACTTTTTTTTATCAATTTCTGTTTAGATCAGTCGATCACAGACAATAAATTCCGAATATCTTCATAATTTGGCAAGTGGGACGAAGTAAACTCAAAGCTTAAATTTTGACTTGACCAATTTGACTTTTTGATGACCTCATTCCTGAAATTTTTGGAACAATTACATTTAAAATAATGATTGTTATAAGCAAGGTTGAACCTAAAATTGCGTTTGGAGATGTTTGACAGAATATATATTATCATTTTTTTCTTTGAGCGAGATATTGACCGATATCATCGTGTAATTGGGACCTAGCTAAAGGCCGTGCTTTTCACGCCTCTTCCATTCACAAGTCGGAATAATTAAGGGTTGATGAGCACCGACTTGATAATGGAATCCTAACCCCACTTTAAAACGCTCGAAACCATCTTTTTGACATTTGAGGTGTAATAAGTTCGGAAAAAAATATCTCGTGAGCCTTGTCGCCTCGTAAAAGCCGAGAAGCGACCCAAAATTTCAATAAGACAGAAAAATACATTTTCAAGGGATTGGGAGCCAAATAATGATATATTGTTTCACTTACATCCGTTTCAAACATTACATTTCATTTATTTATTTACTTATTTATATGTTTTTACACATAATATATTTTATAAATTATAAGTTAACGCCTAATTACTCAGTAAGTGCATTTCTTTCGTGAATCAACGTCTATCTCGAGTCCGAGCAACTTCATTACTTCTTAAGAGCATAACACTAATCGGTATCGCTTCACACTATTCTGGAGCAGTTGATTTGTTTGCATAATAATGGTTAAACTCCCATAGTTAAACAATAGCACATTTACTTATAGCAGAGCCTTGGATCTGAACTAAAATAAAAAATGTGTTGCGTCAATAAACCCTGCGAAAATGTGATGTATTCCTTTTGTTTTCTCCTAAGTTTAACGATTTAAGTTATGCATTCATTGACGCTTAATCAGAAACCACTGTAAGTCCCGGCCTGTTCCATCAGAAAATATTTTTTTATTTTTCCTTTATTGAAATTAATGAGGGAAATTCCGCTTTTCCATCACCGAGAAGTGAGTTGCATTTTCTGACCAAGAATAATGAACGTAGGAGTACATTACTTATGGATGTCGTTTGTCTTCCTCTCCACTATTGCTCAATTTAGAATTTTTTCGTGTAAATTTGGATTAACTACCATAATTTTTTCCTTGATGCAGTCTTATCGCAGAGTTGTTTTTCCTTTAATCAGATATTTTACAGCCATAGAGATGTGTAACATGCATTACTCCCATGTCAGTCTGCATTTTTCCATCATGCTAAAAAAATGAAGCAAAATCTGATACCTGTTATCAACTTTGCTGCTCATATTTCAGATTCATTCAAGATAATTTTCTCCCAGCATGGAAATTAGTTTTGTTCCGAACAATATCTCAAAGACATACAGGTCTTCACGCAATGAAATTGTTTTCTGGGATTTTCGTGGTGAATTTCCTACTGGAAATAAGGAGGTGAAAAACAATGTATTCGTTCGAGTTTATTTTGTACGGAAGAAGTAAAACGGCGTTCATGACAGTTCTACCACTTCTTGTGTCCCTTCTTGTGTCCCTTCTTGTGTCCCTTCTTATGTCCCTTCTTATGTCCCTTCTTGTGTCCCTTCTTCCAGTGCTTGTGTCCACCCGGCACAGGGAAAGGCTCGGGTTCGGGTTCAGCGATGGTGCCGGTCACCAGCATCATCACCACCAGGGCAAGAGCTCTCGGTGGCTGCGCGCTGCGCATTTATACTGCTCTTCGCGACGCTCTTGCATCAGCCTCCACGCGCCCCAGAACTTGGACGCATTGTCTTGATGCTGCAGTGGTCGTTGGAATGATGCTCTCGGTGGCTGCGAGCTGCTCATTTATACTGCTCTTCGCGACGCTCTTGCATCAACCTCCACGCGCCCCAGAACTTGGACGCATTGTCTTGAGGCTGCGGTGGTCGTGTGGTAATAAATCCAGCTACCGCAATGATGCATTGGAAGACGTGACATTAATACATCACTAAATACGTACGTTCAATGTCAACATATCTGAAATTCGACCCCAGTTACTGATTAAGTAACCTTGCAGACAACTTCTTCTCTAGTTTCTTAACTAAACCCATTGACGAGTTCTCAAGAACTCGTTAAAGAGAGAACGAGTTCTAGGGCCCTAACGAGTTATAGAGAACTCGTTAGGAGAATAACGAGGAATAACTGGAATAAAAACACAAAACTTTCCCTATCTCCTCTCGTTTTGGATGCAGAAAATAAGACTAATTGGGCTGCTAAAATTGACTGAAATTTTCTGCTGAGGATAGGGAATTTACGTCACAGAAATGAAAAATATTCGAGATGAACTGCGATATTGGAATGAAGTGAAACATTTTGCTAATTCTGCCTGTCTGGGAAACGAGCACCTCTTGAGACCTGCATGGTTGTTGGGATTGGAGCTACATGATTTTTTTGCTACAGCTTTTGGTTGAACAACATCCAGAACCCAATGAGATCTTTAATTGGCTGCTGTTTTTTGAATAGCTGAAAGCCGGGGTGCTGGGAGAACATGAAGATTCATTGTTTATTACTTCTATTGAAGCTCACAAAAAAACTTTTCAATTCATGAGAAAAGTCATGGAGCCTATCTTTTATCTTCATCAACGGATAATATATGATTCTTTGACAATTAAATTCGCATAAGAAAATCACATTTTAGGAATATTTTCCACCAATGGAGAGTTGACAAATTAAGCTTTGAAGACAATTTAGTTAGAGTAGAGGTTTTAATTCATATATACACTCTGCTAATATGTTCTTATTTGAATGCCTGCCGCATTTTTAATATAAAGATAATGGAGCACAGCAAATATTAGTAAATTTCTAACATAGTAATGAATATCATTTGGTTCATTTTTCTCGTAATTTTATTCAATCGTGTGAAGAAACCAGTTTTCCACACACCTGGCCTTTGTCTCTCTTCGATGCTTGCAAAATTTTACGAGCTTGCTGCACAATGCAAAAAAATACTGAATACATCGTATTTAAGTAGCGTCTTTGAACCTCAGAAAACAGTGATCGAACAACAGCGCTTCGAACAAGATCAACATGGCATCCTTCTTGGTACGGGTTTTGCTATCTTTAAATGAATTAAAGACAATTTAATGAAACTTTAACCTTTAGGGTTATGTGCTAGTGATAAAATTAAGAACGATGTTTAATTATATTCTAAATGATCATTTCATCAAAATTTACACAAGTAATGGGCAAATCCAAATCACAATTGATGTAATAATGATACTCATTCTTCGCGATATATCAAGTTAGTGTTACTACTCAATACGCGCATTGTTATTTGATTTTGAAAAACGACATGAGCACAAACTTTTGCATCCTCGAGCACTTTGACTAAAACAAAGCAAGATCCTTGACAACTTCTGTATGAACAATCACTCATCATTACTTCAGATAAACATTCATAACGTTCTTTGCATTTTATTATAGAAACTGAGCGTGCTTGCCATGGTGGTGATGATGCTGGTGACCGGCACCGTCGCTGAACCCGAACCCGAGCCTTTCCCTGTGCCGGGTGATCACAAGCACTGGAAGGGAAAGGGTAAAGGAAAGGGAAAAGGAGGAAAGGGGAAGGGTAAAGGTAAAGGCAAGGGGAAGGGCCATAAGAAGTGGTAAAAACTGCATGCATCGTAGCAACTCACTCCTAGTGTTTTGTAACTGACAATAAAGATGAATCAGTTAACATATTACTTTAGTCATCCCCAACTGAAATTTACGCGTCATGAGAACGAAGTATTTAAGTAATCACTTAAAATATTTGCGTGAGTTATAATAAAAAGAAAAATCGAGCACGCGGTCCTTTGGATGCAATACTCGCACTTGAGATTGAGAAGAATTGGTCCTTACGCTCGTACTCCATGCTGGCCGTATCACACCTCACGAAAATTGACTCAACAGAGAAGCAAATTGGATATTTTTGATACGTTATTGGTAATGAAGTAGTAGTAAATTAGTCTTTATTGTTGATTAGACCAAATCTGGCTTGTTACTAATTCTATAAATCGGAAAATTTACGGATCGTACTGAGTATATAGGATCCCGGAACTCTGCTCGACCAAAGTGACGCGATGACACTACTAATAACTTTAATAAATGCGGTGACACTATATATATTTAGTAATATTGTTGTAGATATAACCACACATAATATATCAAAAATCACCAGCACAAACGTATAGGCTAGCTTTTACCGATGAAATAACGCGAAAGGTGAAGCAAACATTTATTCGCTACGAGAAGGCTTTAAAATGACCCGTATATCGAACGATTGGTAACAACAAGAATTCCCTTTAATTAAAGTAGAATTTCACAGAACAGAACATATTAATAATATTGCAGCTGAATTTTTGAGAAAGAACCTTGGGAAGATGGCTACCATGTAAATCTAAGGGCAAAGGCCATGTGTGTGGAAAAATGTTTTCCTCACTTGATTGAATAAAATTACGAGAAAAATGAACCAAATGATAATTATTACCATGTTCTAAATTTACTAATGTTTACAGTGCTGCATGGTCTTAACATTAAAAATGCGGTGGGAATCCAAATAAATACATATTAGCAGAGTGTATATTAAGGACATGATATATGATATGTATAATGTATATTACGGACGCGGAGCCCGCCGGGTCCGCGATATTGAGGCAGGGCTAGAAATAATTCTTAACAATAACCGGCAAATTGATCGTTCAATTTTAAAATAGTAGATTAACCATTTAAAGCATATATAAAAAAATATATACTTCAAACTACGGATCTAAGATATTGACGCGTCTCAGAGATTCATTGTACAACCCATTAGGAAGGTGGTAGACGTAAAACTTATACGGAATTGCTTAAAACAGGTAATTTTAAGGCAAAAATTATAAATGGTAGCCGATAACTTCACATCGAAAAACTAGAAAATTACTTGAAATGCAAAGACAACAGTGCGGAAACTGGCTTGAAGGCCAATTCTAATGACTACGGTAAAGTAACTTTTATGGAGCGCCTTAATAAGCACGAAGACCGTAAATAAAAACGAAGAAATTGCAAGAACTTTCACAGTAAGGCAAACATAGTGAAACCTTGAATAGGAAGAATTGAAAAACTCAAGAAGATATATTGGAGGGCAATGCTAGCCTGCGACGACTGTAGTTGAAGCGAAATTTAAAGTATTAGGTGTGCCTGGCGTGAGGGCTGAATATGAATTAAAACCTCTACTGTAGCTAAATTGTCTTCATAGCTTAATTTGTCAATTTTCTATTGGTGGAAAATGTTCCCACAAATGTGATTCTCTTATGTGAATTAAATGACAACGAATCATATATTTTCAGTTGTTGATGGTAAAAGAAAGGATCGATGTCTTTTTTCATGAATTGAAAATTTTTTGTGAACCTCATTTGAAGTAATAAATAATGAATCTTCGTGTTCTCCTGGCACCCCGGCTTTCAGCTAATCAAAAAACAGCAGCTAACTAAAGATCTAATTGGATTCTCGATGTCGTTCAATCAAAATTAAGCTCGGCAATATAGTAGGAGACTACAGAAAAAAATCATGTACCTCCATTTTCAACAAGCATGCAGCTCTCAAGAGATGCTCGTTTCGCATTAGCAAAACGTTTCACTCCATTCCAACATCTCACTTCATCTCAAATATTTTTCATTTCTGTGACGTAAATTCCCTATCCTCACCAGAAAATTTTACAGTCAATAAAATTTACTGTAAAATTTTACATTGTATCCGCCAATTAGTCTTTTGAGAGAAGATCGGGAAAGTTTCGTGTTTTTCTTCCAGTTGCTTGAAAACTCGGCAGGGTGTTAAGCTAAGTAACTAAAGAAGAAGTTCACAGCAAGTTACAATCAGTAACTGGGGTCGAATTTCAGATATATTGACATTGAACGTACGTATTTAGTGATGTATTAATGTCACGTGTTCCAATGCATCATTGCGGTAGCTGGATTTATTACCTAACGACCACCGCAGCCTCAAGACAATGCGTCCAAGTTCTGGGGCGCGTGGAGGCTGATGCAAGAGCGTCGCGAAGAGCAGTATAAATGAGCAGCTCGCAGCCACCGAGAGCATCATTCCAACGACAACTTCACAACGAAACTAAAACATGGCTTCTTTTTTGGTGAGTACGAAATATTTCAATGTACCTTAAGCCATCGCAGAATGCTTTTAGGATACAAGTGTAAACTTTTGAGAGAGTATGAAATAATGAGAAGTAATTCTCGATAATTAGCAAAACAACGCTTTAACTTTTTCTGATCTTCTTTGCGATGTGTTTGATGGGAATTTATTTTCAACAAAAACTTATGGCCGACAAATTGATAGCCGATTCCGTATTCAAATATTACCCTTCACTTCAGGGCCACATTGGCGGTTGAAGGCTATTTCAACTATTTTTGCTGTACAGGATTTACAATACCAGTGAAAACTGTTGAAATTTAACAATGATTTCTCCGCCTTGCAGAAACTGAGCGTGCTTGCCCTGGTGGTGATGATGCTGGTGACCGGCACCATCGCTGAACCCGAACCCGAGCCTTTCCCTGTGCCGGGTGGACACAAGCACTGGAAGAAGGGACACAAGAAGGGGCACAAGAAGGGACATAAGAAGGGACACAAGAAGGGACACAAGAAGGGCCACAAGAAGTGGTAGAACTGTCATGAACGCCGTTTTACTTCTTCCGTACAAAATAAACTCGAACGAACACATTGTTTTTCACNAGGCCTTGTCCAAATGTCCTCTCAGGCTCTCGTGCTCGAGGGACCATGGTTTCCCGTTTAGGGACTGTAGGCGGGGGTCTTCGCTCTTGAACTGCCATTTCACGGCTGGAAAGGGCTTCGGGGTCTTGAGGGCCCCTTAATTAAACTACGTACGAAGTTTCGACATTATCTTCAATAAAACCTATTGTAACATGGTGGATTGTATACATCAAACTTGACGTATCGTTCAATTATACCACTGTATATTACCATTGCCATTGTATTTCAGGCTCTCATTTCTTCACCCCATGTGGCGATGCTTTGTCAGCCGGAGCCCTTTTTCCATTGTAGAAATGCCCGGCCACGTTCTATTGCTGTCTTGGTCAACTTGTTGACCCATGAGTCAACTTTATCGAATAATATGCTTGAAAAATAGGAAATTGCATGAAAATTCTTGGCTTTTTTAATTCCAGAGCAAGTAGTTCTCGGAAGGAATGGAGATGTGGAGTAAGAGGAAGTATGGCGGGTTGAGGCGGGACCGGTTCATATAGTGAAGTTTGAGTACCAACTACGACTGTACCCTACAGTACATCGNGTTGCATTTAGTGACATAGGAATGTCACGTCGGAGCATCATTGCAATAGATGGCTTCATTGCTTCACATTTATTGGCTAGTATTCCTAGTAAGTTGCATTTAGTGACATAGGAATGTCACGTCGGAGCATCATTGCAATAGATGGCTTCATTGCTTCACATTTATTGGCTAGTATTCCTAGTAAGTTGCATTTAGTGACATAGGAATGTCACGTCGGAGCATCATTGCAATAGATGGCTTCATTGCTTCACATTTATTGGCTAGTATTCCTAGTAAGTTGCATTTAGTGACATAGGAATGTCACGTCGGAGCATCATTGCAATAGATGGCTTCATTGCTTCACATTTATTGGCTAGTATTCCTAGTAAGTTGCATTTAGTGACATAGGAATGTCACGTCGGAGCATCATTGCAATAGATGGCTTCATTGCTTCACATTTATTGGCTAGTATTCCTAGTAAGTTGCATTTAGTGACATAGGAATGTCACGTCGGAGCATCATTGCAATAGATGGCTTCATTGCTTCACATTTATTGGCTAGTATTCCTAGTAAGTTGCATTTAGTGACATAGGAATGTCACGTCGGAGCATCATTGCAATAGATGGCTTCATTGCTTCACATTTATTGGCTAGTATTCCTAGTAAGTTGCATTTAGTGACATAGGAATGTCACGTCGGAGCATCATTGCAATAGATGGCTTCATTGCTTCACATTTATTGGCTAGTATTCCTAGTAAGTTGCATTTAGTGACATAGGAATGTCACGTCGGAGCATCATTGCAATAGATGGCTTCATTGCTTCACATTTATTGGCTAGTATTCCTAGTAAGTTGCATTTAGTGACATAGGAATGTCACGTCGGAGCATCATTGCAATAGATGGCTTCATTGCTTCACATTTATTGGCTAGTATTCCTAGTAAGTTGCATTTAGTGACATAGGAATGTCACGTCGGAGCATCATTGCAATAGATGGCTTCATTGCTTCACATTTATTGGCTAGTATTCCTAGTAAGTTGCATTTAGTGACATAGGAATGTCACGTCGGAGCATCATTGCAATAGATGGCTTCATTGCTTCACATTTATTGGCTAGTATTCCTAGTAAGTTGCATTTAGTGACATAGGAATGTCACGTCGGAGCATCATTGCAATAGATAGAGCTTCATTGCTTCACAACGACTACAGGCTTGAGGCAACGCAGCTCACGTCTGCGCGCCGTCAGCCAAGTTCTGGGGCGCGTGGAGACTGATGCAAGAGCGTCGCGAAGAGCAGTATAAATGCGCAGCGCGCAGCCACCGAGAGCATCATTCCAACGACGACTTCACAACGAAACTAAAACATGGCTTCATTCTTGGTGAGCAAGACATATTACAATTTATCTGCATCTTAGGGTGAATCCTTTTATTCACCTATTTGATTTACTATTTTTACGTTGTTCTATAAGTTCTAAGTTTTATTCTGAAAATTTTAATGTATTTATGGCAGAATTGGATCTCAAAGTTTGTGATCATCTCTAGATTGAAGGCTAGCTTGACGGGCCCAGTGAGAGAAAATGAGTGCTACATTCTCCACAAAAAAAATAGAATAATAGTTTTGATATTATTGATTTTAAAATAATCTAGTCGAATTAAATTACTCACGACTAGCAATAGAAAACTTATGGACAAATGTAATTTTTTTACACTTAAAATAATGTTTATATATTGCTACGTCGTCCACTTGCTTTGCAGAAACTGAGCGTGCTTGCCATGGTGGTGATGATGCTGGTGACCGGCACCATCGCTGAACCCGAACCCGAGCCTTTCCCTGTGCCGGGTGAGAGATGTGGAGTAAGAGGAAGTATGGCGGGTTGAGGCGGGACAGGTTCATATAGTGAAGTTTGAGTACCAACTGCGACTGTACCCTACAGTTCATCGATAACAGGTTCAACATCTTCTAGAGGACATGAGAGGGCCATGATCTGCCATACACTCATCATAAGAACAGTATAAGAGACCCGATGCAGGTCATTTCAAGGGCTTAACAAGTAGAATAGTTTGGATTTAATTCAAGATTCTTAGTAGACGGAAAGACTTGACGGTGATCAGATGAATGAAGATGGCATGCTCCGAGACCCTCGGAAGTTGTATGAAAAGACAGGCAGGTCAGATATAGTGGAAGATCATTTACATTTACGCTTATCTGCAGGCACTCTATTGGACATATATCAACGGCTAAAATTAGGTAGAAAATAAGAACATGAATTGTATGATGATATAAGGAAAACTGCAATGTTTAAAACGGATGTAAGTGAAACAATATATCATTATTTTGGCTCGAAAATTTATTTTTCTTTCTTATTGAAATTTAAGGTAGCTTCTAGGCTTTTACGAGGAGACAAGACCCAGAAGCTATTTTTTCCGAACTTTTTACACCTCAAATGCCAAAAAAAGGATGTTTTTGAGCGTTTTAAAGTTTGAGCCCTATTCCGACTAGAGAATGGAGGAGTGCTTTAGCCCATGTAGCCTCTACGGCACTTACAATATGTAGCCTCTACGGCACATGCAATCGGTCAATATTAATTTATAAATGCGCACAACTGTATTAATTTATAAATACAGTTGTGCGCAGTGCGCATCTGCATACGTTGCAATGAAAACAGGCAACTTCATTCTACAATTACGGAGCATAAAGGGAAGAGTTATAAGACTCTTTCTAAATCGGCTGTGCTCACTTGCGCCGAACAGTTCGAAGTGCCTATACGAGTGCCAGAGTCGCTATGGTATATTCGATAATGGCTTTGAAAATTTTAGCTTTCACCTCCGATGCTTTCGATTTGCGAATTTAAGAATCACTTAATATTCCCAAACAGAGGCCTAGTTTGAATTTAACCCTTTAGTTCTTTTCACCTAAAATTAGATAAATAGATTAGGTTTCGCCTATTATATTCTTTGCTTCGTTTTTATTTGTAAAATTTAGGCGTAACATCTATCTTTTTGATTTTGACTCTACGAACTGATTGTATCTGTGTTCCAGAATTGTCGAGGTGACGATGGAACTGAACTCTGGAACGTTTTTTTATAAGATGCAGTGTATTTTGGTTTCGTATTCCTTGCTTTTACATTTCAGATTGTTAGAAAATCATTATTTTATGTTTTCATCCCTAGACGTCTGTCTGAACAGCGCACATTTCATGGTTTCATTTGTATATGATTTTCCCGCAATTGATTTTTTACAAATGAATAAATACTAAGGTTATTACAGGAATGTTAAGTGTTTACATTGCAAATAAAAGTCTCAGAACTGAAAGGTAAATTAAATTAAACAAAATTTGTTCTAAAATGCATTACAATTGTCCATCTCTTACTGATGGAAAAAAATTTGTGATTATGTTGTACTGACTCATTGCATCTTAACATTGCTTCTGTGTCTACCACAACAATTGAGTAACACCGTCGATGCAATTCAATGCTGGTGGAGAAATATACCATCGCTGAACCTCTGTCAATGTTGATGTAAAAGTAGCCTAGCTTGGGCGTAAAGGAATCAATCAGATCTTTATAGTCAGGATAATGTTGCAGATGCTGAACACGAAATTTGCTGAAGTTGCCGTTGTTAATTCAATTCTTATGTTTGATTGAGAAAAGATGTATCGTTGGAAAAACTTCTTCACTTATGGCCTACTTGGCGAGAATTATATGATAATCAGAGTTAACAGGCAGACAATGGAATTGGACTCTGTCGATGGGCAAGTATTCTAATTGTTAGTTAACAGGGTTTCTGCACTGTTAGAAAAATGACCGTTAACGGTATTACCGGCGTTTCAGTGGCCGGTCGGCACGTGAAAAGAAACACCGTTTCACCGTTTTTATTGCAATTTAACACCCGAAATCCGTAAAACATCTGATAAAAACGGCGAAACAGTTTATTTTCACGGGGCGACCGGCCACTAGGATGCCGGTGGGACCGTTTTTTCACCGTTTTTTCTAACAGTGTGATGGTTCTTTTCACTCGGAAATTTTTTCAATAGAACATGGAAACAGAACTTGTCGAAGATTTTGGCATCGTCCATTATGGAGCAGTATCTGCTGTGTAAATTATTGGTTGCAATAAATATACATTTTTTTCCTCATATATATCCTCCTATTTCCTCCCTTTCCTTATATATTAGACCCTTGGTATAAGTGCTTCATGACGAATGAACGCTATCTAAAGATAATAGTGTCGGGAAAAAAGTACTTCCAAAATCAGGACTTAATCAAATTTAAAATATTTTGCCCTGTTTGCATGTCTTGAAAAAATTCGGCTCGATGCTGCTAAACAAAAACCAATTTCTCTCGATTTCGAATCCAACAGGCTAGCAGCGGCAAAATGTGTCGATAGAATTTGTAAATTAATCAATGTGTGTGTTAACAATTGAATATGACGGAATGTTATCAACTCACAAAGAAAGAAGCCATTGTTCAGGAGTTGCTCGGAGCGGTGTCGTTCGAGTGATGTCTTTGCTGGTCGTTGTATGCATTTTATAACAAACTCAGACGCTACGGAGTCCTTCGTGGACACCGGCACGCGTTATGCAATCCTACGCTGTGCAGTTGGCTAGGCGCTGTCGCATTCAGTTCAGCGTCAACGTGGTACAAATGCAGGATTATTTCGCAATGCGAGACTTAGACTCGCAGGTATTTTTGTTAGAAAAGTTACACCAGCAAATAGAGGATTCAATAGTTATAAATGCCTTACGCCCCGACAGAATCGTACGAAGCCAATCAATTTGGTTGTAAATGTTTGAACGATTGCTACAGATATTAATGATAGATTTAAATTATGATATATTTAAATTTATATATTTAAAGATGATATATTTAATAATTAATAGTATGATCTTTCCAAAAACAATGTGTCCGTGTGCAAGAACTCGTAATATGGTAAAATTCACGTTGTAAACATAATTTGCGATATTAATTTATGTGACGTCGCTGACAAAATAGTTTGTTACATGTATACTTCAATGCGATAATTTAATAAAGGGAAAATTTAGCGTATTTCCACAAGCGTCATAAATCTCGGTGAACTTTCATAATGCAATGACGGATGATAACAATAATCATGTTTGGAAGTCTTACTGACATTTATTTAAATCTGCCTAAACGATCAAATATAATGAGTATTGCGTCGATAATTAATTATTCAAATTAATTTAAATTGAAACAACTGTTAGAAATAAGGTTCCAACTAGAATATTCTCACTTAAACCTTATTTCTAGCAGTTATTTCCAGGGGAACCTAGGTGTTTTAAATAACCTTTCTAAGTGTGAGAAGTGTGAGGGGAACCTTTTAACGTGTGAGAAATTCCTAATTTCTCACCGGTAATTAGTATATATGCTAGGGTTTGTTTATAAGATCTATTAATAACCGAATTATCTTGCCTCTAGAATCCGATTCTCTAACTTCAGCCGAAGAGTAAGTATTATAGTCTAAATCAGGGGTTCTGCCGCGGATCTTAAACAGTCCTCATCAGCATCAAATATCGTTTGTCTCACATCATACGTACGTGCCGCCGGTAACCAAATCTGCGTTAAATCTCGATATTCTTATCGAGATTCAAAAGATTGACATTTCTGAAGTTATCAGTGCCGATTGCCAGTTTGTCAGCCATTCAACCGATTATCAACTTACCAGCATCAACGTTCAAGTATTTCTATCATCTTGCTTTGAACCTGTTTCTCTATCCCTTGGTTTGTATGAATGTCGTTTGAAATTCGTTTTGATTATTTGTTTGCTCTATTAAATTCATTGATTCAATCTGTTGGGAAGTTGGACTTTGTTTTAAGTGTTACAATTTAAATTAATTTTTAATTCAAACTTTCATTTTGTAAATTTATTCATGGTTTATTATAAATCGAATCAAGCTATTCAAATTTTTTAGCAGTCTTTGCTCAAGAAGGGCGTTTCTTGACGACGTCACTTGCAAAGATCACTGCTTAAACCTTAGTCTTAAGTCTTTATCTCAAATTTCTAAAGAATCAAAACCTTCTACTGTTCTAGCTATTTTTCTCGTCCAACTTCCCACCCCTTAAACTGATTTCCGCTATTTTCCTGCATTATTCTACCTTCAAAAAGTGATCACCACACTGGGCATTTAAACCTCAGGTTTGTTGTGGTTTTTCTGTGCAAATAAATTGACATTTTTTTTGTATTTATTTTGGCTATA